TCCGCTGTACGAGGTATCTCGCGATAGCCCTACATCACAGCAACACAGCCGTGCGTGTCCTGCCTCGATTGGTGCCTCGTGGGCGGAGATACAGACGGGGGGGGATTTAGACACTAATTTCACACACTTCTACCGGTGTTCGTCAGTCGATTGGTGCCCTGTGGGCGGAGATACAGACGCGGGGGGAATTAGACACTATTCCCCCCCCAGGGGGCAGGTTGAGGCAATAAATATACTTTGCCCATCAGCCATATGGCTGCACTAAACCTGCACCGTTTCCGCTGTACGAGGTATCTCGCGATAGCCCTACATCACAGCAACACAGCCGTGCGTCTCCGGGCTCGATCGGTGACTTGTTGGCGGAGATGTAGACGGGGGGGGATTGAGACACTAATCCCCCCCCGGGGGGCAGGTTGGGACAACAGATATGTTTTGCCCATCGGCCATGGCTGCACCAAACCTGCACAGTTTCCGCTGTACGAGGTATCTCGCGATAGCCCTACATCACAGCAACGCAGCCGTGCGTGTCCTGGCTCGATTGGTGCCTCGTGGGCGGAGATACAGACGGGGGGGGATATAGACACGAACCCCCCCCCGGGGGGCAGGTTGGGACAACAGATATATTTCGCCAATCGGCCATGGCTGCACCAAACCTGCACCGTTTCCGCTGTACGAGGGATCTCGCGATAGCCCTACATCACAGGAACAACACAGCCTTGCATGTCCTGGCTCGATTGGTGCCTCGTGGGCGGAGATACAGACGGGGGGGGATATAGACACGAATCCCCCCCCGGGGGGCAGGTTGGGACAACAGATATGTTTTGCCCATCAGCCATGGCTGCACCAAACCTGCACCGTTTCCGCTGTACGAGGTATCTCGCGATAGCCCTACATCACAGCAACACAGCCGTGCGTGTCCTGACTCGATTGGTGCCTCGTGGGCGGAGATACAGATGGGGGGGGGATTTAGACACGCCGTTTCAAAAATTGAATTAATTGTGTAGTCTAGAGATGCATTGATGCTCTTTCAGCAGTCCATTCATTCTGTTTGGATATATTTGCATCAACTACTACAATACTGTATACTTCCAAGGC